TACTCCAAGGCCAAATTTGCCTGTTACTCCAGGTGTTTCTTGACTTCCTACTTTTGCATTCCAGTCCCCTATAATGAAAAGGACATTGTTTTTGGGTGTTAGTTCTAAAGGTCTTGTAGGTCTTCATAGAACCGTTCAGCTTCTTCAGCATTACTAGTTGGGGCATAGACTTGGATTACTGTGATACTGAATGGTTTGCCTTGGACACAAACAGATCATTCTGTCATTTTTGAGACTGCATCCAAATATGCATTTTGGACTCTTTTGTTGACTATGATGGCTATTCCATTTCTTCTTAAGTTATTCTTGCCCACAGTAGTAGATACAATGGTCATCTGAGTTAAATTCACCCATTCTAGTCCATTTTAGTTCACTGATTCCCAAAATGTCACCATTCACTCTTGCCTGTTTGATCTGTTTCAGTGATATATGTAGACACTTTAAAAAAGAATTCATTTATTTAGCAACTTAGTAAGCATCTTACTGCGAGCACTTGCTTAGACATTGGAGACAGATGAATGATACAGTCCCCACCTCTAGAAGCTCACATTCTAGACGGGACACACATACATAAACAATTTCGGGAGCATAAAGAGAAAGAGAGTCAGCTCATAGTAATAGCTCAGTAAATATTGTTGAATCTGAAAAAGAATCCTTACCATTGTGTTTGGTAGGACAGAGGAACAGAAAAACAAAAAGTGTTAACCCAGGAAGTGATGCTTGAGTGGAATCACATACTACAATTGGAAGGGGTATTATGCAAGATATATAGGTATCAAGATGCAGAGTTACAAGCAGATATGTCTGGTTTATGGAAATGCCAAGTGATTTGGCATAGATGGAGCATCTGGGCTGAACTGGTTTCAGATTTCAAACTGTGCTCCTAGGAACTCTAGGGATTTGCGGGGAGGATGCTTTGGGACACCTGTGAGAGAAGTATATAGGGTTAGGCAGGCTTCACACCACCCTTTTCCTCCTTCCTTTTAACAATTGTAGCTCCACCTATTTATTTATTTACAGTTCACCCTAAGGTAAATCACAGTTCACTTTAATTAAGTGAATAGTGTTGCATGCTCTTTGGGTTTGGACAAAAGTATGACATATATCCATTATTATAATGTCACACAAAGTATTTCAGTGCTCATAAAAACTTCTGTACTTTGTGTATACATCTCCTCTCTCCCCCTAAACTCCTGCTAACTATCAGTCTTTTTATTGTCTCCATAGTTTTGCCTTTTCCAGATGGCATGTAGTTGGAATCTATTTTTCTCTTCTTTGCCATCCAAAGAAAAGCCTTTATGACACTACTCATGGCTCACCCATGCATCGACCTGACACGCTCTAAGTGGTGAACTTCCCCACTAAATGCCGTAGCTTTTCTTTCAGTGTTGAGCCCTGTCACACTGGTCCTGCCCAGCAGCATCTGGAGGTGCAGGGGAGCATGTGTTTTCTGTTTCTTCATAGGACGGGCACAAGTTTTGCCCCTTGTCACAGTGAACCCAGATTTTTGTTGGGTATGTTGTAAACAGAGAAGCCATTTCTTCAGGTTCTTATTTTTATATTTAGGCGTTTGTTTAAGATTTTGTTGGAAGAAAGGGTTTTGTGCCTAAAAGGTTTTGTGAGGCACTGCTGTAGGCTGTAGTTGAGCCATGTATTTTTCAGGGTCAAAGGGGAGAAAACTAACTTTGACACAACATGAGGAAACTTGGGGGAAAGACTAGTTGTGGCTTTAGTAAAGGGGAGTGGTCAGAGAAATGGTTAATAGTTAAATGAGTAGGGTTGAGCAAAAGAAGCTTTAGGAGCTTAAAAAAAAGAAGTTAAAAAAAAAGTTAACTTATTGACTATTTAAATATAAGTACCTGGATGTGATCCCTCTGAAAGACAAATGAATACTTAGTCTTTTAAGATTTATCCTTAGCTCCTAGTTAAGTTGGCACTTAAGACATATTTGTTAAATTGAATTTGAAGATGAATTGCTAAGTTTGATTTTTTTTTTTTTGTAATACCATCCCAATATACATAAATTAGATCAGTACAATTCAAAGTGCCTATCTCAGGCAAAGAATGTAGTATATTAACACACCTTCTAATCCTTCAGCCGGAAAGTGGTATGGGGAAAAAAAAAATAGGCTGAACACAAACAAGGTGCACAGTGACTTAGGTAATTTACATTCTGGCAGAAATTTCTTATCTAGACTCAGACTAGGTAACATTTTGCAGACTGGCAGCCAGTTTGCAATTATACTTTTAGTAGTACTGAATTAGACATTCTTATTAGCATAAGTGCAATAACATTAAATGCCATGGTTGAATTTCCTTCATGTAACAAAATCTAACATTGCTTCTGGCAGTTCTACATGCTGGATTCAAGGTCCACAGATCGAGTATTACACTGGGAAAGAATTGACTGCCAAGGAGTTCCTCCATCATCAAAGGACAAACTCGGTGTCTGGGTATATAAAAACAAGTGAGTCAGCAGCACCACAGGTTTGGGTTTTTATGTGAAAAGTATTTTGCCATTCACGTATCCTTCGCTAATAACCATTGTAATCATGTAACATGCCTCTGAAGGCCCATGAAGATTAAGTAAATTAACGGCAAAGCACCTAAGACATCGTTGTTAGCCATATTAGCCATTATTATTTGAATAAGTATTTTTATATACTCAAGTGTGCCTTCTCAGCTCATGGAATATTACAAAACAAAAAAAAAATCTCTTATATCTATGGATGTTTGAATTTTTAATGTCTTGGTTTTTTATCAAACAGGTTAATATTTTTTGGAGGGTATGGATATTTACCTGAAGATAAAGTATTGGGAACTTTTGAATTTGATGAAACATCTTTTTGGGTAAATGAAGTTTCGTATTTGCATATGTGGCCTACTTAGTCTGTTGAAATAATATACTTCATTTGCTAATAGCTTTGTTCATTTTGCCCTGTTAATAAACCAAAGGCTGTTTTACAAACATTATTTGTGAAAACTAACTCAGATTCTTTCTTACTTTCTGTAGAATTCAAGTCATCCAAGAGGATGGAATGATCATGTACATATTTTAGACACTGAAACGTTTATCTGGAGCCAGCCTATAACTACTGTGAGTTACTGAAGAATAATGAATTAATTATTAAAGCAAAGCTGCTTCAACGAGAAGGGCAGTTGGCAAGTGGTATAAAATTGACAGCTCATTATTCTCCAAGGAGTCTAAAACTAAAAAGTTAATGAGTGTATAGACTAGCCCAGTATCTGTCATCTAATAGCTGTTAAAAGTGGTATTGTCTGTAATTAAGTAAATGACCTAGTGCTGGATTGGGATTTAAATTACTCAAATGTTAGATGTCTTTTTCCTCTGACACAGTGTCATATAATGTGCTAGCTTTTATTTTAAAAGAAAAGTAAAGTGAGTAAGCATTCTATTAACTAGCCCATTCGGTAATGTTTCTCAAAAGCTCCCAGTTTTGGTAGTCAGCCTTCAGTGCTGCTGTTTATTAGAAGTTTGCACTTCAGCTTAAGAGCTCAAGTGTTCTGCACATTCTGTCCCACCTCCAGAAAAGACTTCTTTCTGGTATTTATAAAACGTTCACTTATTCATTAAATTGTTTTTATGACAACTAGGGTAAACCACCTTCACCTCGTGCTGCCCATGCCTGTGCAACTGTTGGGAACAAAGGCTTTGTGTTTGGAGGCAGATACCGAGTGAGTATATAAAACAGTTTCAAAGATGTGCTTTTCAGTTACTCAGAAAGATAACTAGTTAATTTATCCTTTTTTAGGATGCTAGAATGAATGACCTTCACTATCTTAATCTGGATACATGGGAGTGGAATGAACTGTAGGTATCATTTAGATAATTATTTAGGAAAGTTTTTAAAAAAAATGTCAATGGATTTTCCCCCTTACTCTCTATTATTAGTACATAATATACCTGCTTTCCTTTTCTGTAACAATGAATTTAAGTAAACATGATCACTAAATCCTTAAGGAATCTTTAAATTTTCAGTTCCCATAACTGTATGTCTAGCATAGAGCATGTGCTCAGTGTTTATTGAAAAGATCTAAAGTTGACCCTCCTTCCAAGAAAATAGTTCATTGAAAAGCGTGTAGCTGTTAATATCAAGAAGCCTTTTTTTAAAGTCTCTTCAAAATTCCATATAAAATTTTAAAGAAAACTTCAGTATTTCTCTGCTTTAAATACAGTAGTGGCTTTTAAATGCAGATATTGTAACTTTGCTCTCATTTTCAGAATTCCACAAGGCATATGCCCAGTTGGCCGATCTTGGCACTCACTAACACCAGTTTCTTCAGATCATCTGTTTCTCTTTGGAGGATTTACCACTGATAAACAGCCACTAAGTAAGTACTTTTAAAATATTTTAAAAAGTTATTATATGTCATTCATAAGTAATATATAAATAGCTGGAAAAAATCAGTATTTTAGGTGTTATCAGAGGGCTATACGGATAGTTAGAAGGTTTGGTATTAATTTTGATCCTATAATATACATAGCATTGTTTTCATATGACACATCTATCTGTCCAGTTTAAAAAAAAAAAGTTACCTAGAGCTCTTTGCCGTGCTAAATGGCTGTAACATGAAAAGGGCTTACATGCCTAACTGCAGGGGGAAAAAAGGAAATACACTTTCTGTATCTACTCAAAATCTGATTCATTATTGTTTTTACTAAAGCTGCACTCTTTAAATATCAGTGTCACATTGACAGAATAACACACTTCATGCTTTTTTCTTTGCTTTAATCAGGTGATGCGTGGACATACTGCATCAGTAAAAATGAATGGATACAGTTTAATCATCCCCATACTGAAAAACCAAGGTACGAACTATTTAAAAGGTAGTTCTTATGTTGAGTAAGGTCCTTAGAGATGTATAAGACTGGTAATGGATGAGAAAATTCAGTTGGCTGCATGCACTTCCTCATAAAAACCCTAGCATTCATTAAGGTTTAACATCATACCTTTTGAAAGAAAACCAATGTTCTTAGTATTAGTACTTTCTTTTTCATCATCTGTGCATGAAAAACAGGGCTGGATTTTGCTTTTTGCTTCATCAGAATACTGACATCGTTAAAATTTATACTAAAACTCTTTACCAGAGTAGAACTGTTTCTAGATTTGTCATTTGAAAAAGGAACTTCTGGTTCTCTTCTAGGAAAGAATTCAAAACCCTAAAGAATGTTTGAGGGTGAGGGAATCAAGAAGTTTCAATCAAATGTACAGTTACACTGTATAACAAATATTAGGAAGTTGAATCGTCCAAAAAGAGCCTGTTAGAACACTGCTACTTTTCTTATCTCAGAATTGTTACACAGACTGCTAAAAGGAAATGATATAGTCAGAACTGGTGTTCAAAGCACATTTGTATAATGTTAGCTTGCATTTTTGTCCATGCCTCTAACCTAAGTAGTATAGTCATGCCACTAGGATGCCTTTCGGCACAAATACTCTTTCCACAGAGTCAGGCCTGAAGATGCTTTGTTTACTCAGGAAGAGTAAAACATTCCTCAGATGTTTTGTGTGAGGACAACTGACCTTGACTATGAAAAGAAGGAGACGGCATATACCACTCATCTCCCAAAGACTTTTATTGCTCATAAAAACTTAAAAGAGAACAGATTGTTCAATTCAGACTCCTCATTGCATAAATTAGGAATGGACCAGAGAGATAATGATATCCAGATAAAAGACATTGATTTTTCTAGCTTTTTGTACTTTTCCTTGAGATAACTGTGTCTCGATTTTATGTTTTGGTCTGTGCTAAAGACCTTTAGTCTTTATTTCATCATCTCTAGTCTCTAGTATAAATTATCAATTTGGTCTCTGGGGTGACTTCAAACAAGTTCTTGTTTTAAATGTAGATTATGGCATACAGCTTGTGCCAGTGATGAAGGAGAAGTAATTGTGTTTGGAGGGTGTGCCAATAACCTTCTTGTCCATCACAGAGCTGTAAGTACACCACCCTTTATTAAAGGACACTTCGTATTATTGCTGAAACTTTCTTCTGAAATACTTTTAATGTATTCTTGTCTGTTTTTCAGGCACACAGTAATGAAATACTTATATTTTCAGTTCAACCAAAATCTCTTGTAAGGTAAGTAACTTTTTACTTGGTACATATTTTTAATTGTTTCTTAAACACTTTAAATTAGTGTTCTTGAAAAAATAGATTTATGGATAATTTAAGGGCAATAATAAACTTTCGTTGATAAAACTATCCAGTTCCTGTGAAAATCTTTAAAGTGCTTTTTCTTTTTTGGTAGTTTTTCAAGTGAATATACTTCTAAACAGTAAAGTGAAATTATTTTTCTTTGTCCACTTTCAGGCTAAGTTTAGAAGCTGTCATCTGCTTTAAAGAAATGTTAGCCAACTCATGGAACTGCCTTCCAAAACACTTACTTCACAGTGTTAATCAGAGGTTTGGTAGTAACAACACTTCTGGATCTTAAGGCTTCATAGATAATGCCTCTGATCACTTGCATGGACAGCAATTCTGTAAACATCAGAGTGAAATCATTTGTATAATTATATACACTGTTGTAGTTTGCAGCTTTTTAGTTTTACTGTGCATGTGAATGGCCTAGAGAACCTATTTTTGTGTCTAAAGTTTACAATAAATGTATTTAACAGCAGAAGTTAATAGTTGGGCTTTTTACCCAAAGGAATGATTATTTCCTATTTGGTAACATCAGGGTCTATATCTGTAGAAACATTGTATTAATTATTCCTACCACTATCAAAATGGTCAAGTTACTTTCTAAAGACATTAATATTTTAGCTGTTTCTTTAATGGCATGAGTAGTCTATTATGTTGAATTTAAAACAGTAGGCTACATAAAGTGGTTGTTGATAGGACTACGCTGGTGAAGGAAACCTTGGAAGGACCAACGGCTGTCCAGTCCTCGGCCCCAGTGCTTTGGTGTAAGGGTGGGGCAAGCGGAGTTGCTCATGTTGACTCGAGGCAGCCTGTTGAATTGTTTTAAAATCAACAGCTTTTATAGCTCATAAAGAATGGAAATAATGTATGACTTTATTCTCCATTGTTAGGAGACAGAAGAAAAAAGCTGGGTCAGGAGTCTTTAGTGGTAAACCTGAAAGTGCACTTATAATATTATAGGTTAAGATACTCTTGGGTTAAGATCAGTAACATGCTACTGATAATTACTAGAGGTGGAAAATAAAATGACACAGAGCTGAATGAGATTACAAGAAAGAAATTAAGATGAAAAGTAATGGTATTATATAAATGCATGGAAGTTATCAACACCAATTTCTTCTAGGTGTTATCTTAAGCCAAGTCACGGGAATGATTTGTATTTAAAATCTAGTCTAATATGAGTAAAGGCAGAAGAAGTCTACTTCCTCAAGACTTATTAAATGTATAACCACCCCAGCCCCCACCAGGAAAAACAAAACTTGCGATTGGCCTGTAATAGATATATTAGATGTTATATACAGTAGACTACTAAGTCAATAGTCTAACCAGTTGAGCCACTTCACTATTCCATTTCTTTACAACATGAAATGAATACTTACTATTAACCTTCCAAATTTCAAGAAAATGTAGAATAATTGCAGTTGCTTACAATTAGCATTTGCTGTCCACAAATATTTTAGGAAATCCTATCATAGTGTTTCCTCTCTATAAAACTGGAAAAAGACCAAGTCATTTTGGCGAATACAGCAAGGCAATGTTAGTTCACTTTTAAATGCGGAAGTCTTGTTACATGATGTTTTCATCTCTGAACTTCCAAAAGGCTATAAAACTGACTCTTCTCAAATATTTTAGGGTTTCATTTCAGCTATTTTCTTTTTACATTCAGAAGATTGGGTGCAGACACTTTCACTTTGCCAGGAATGTTTCTTGATAAATCCGTGTCCTTAAAAAAAAAAAAAAAAAAAAAAAAAGGCTGAATATTTTCACAATCACATTCTTATGATCTTTATATGTCCTCTGCTGCCAAAAAAATGGCATTTCTAAAATTTTCATCTGAAATTTTTTCTTATTGTTTCTAGCAAGACAGCAGTCTTCTAATAGCTGCAGCTTCCATCTGCTAACAATGCAAAAACAAAAATAAAAAAATCATAACTGCTCACATTTAACTGTACCACCAATCTCTAGAGATTTCTACAGGAATACTTTACCTTTACACTGCGGAATAAGTCTTTTTCTCTTGCTGTTGCTTCTCTGGAATGCATGAAACTATTCAAGGCTGTTTTCGCAGCTGTAAGCAGAAGATAGAAGAATCTACTTCTGTTCAGTCAAGAAATGTTTAAAATCATAATTCACAAAAAGATTTTAAATACCTTTTCCTTTTTTCTGAACTCCAGGAGTAAGTTTCACTTTGTATCTTTAAAAAGGAATTGCATGTGTTACTAAACAGAGATTACAAAATGATTCATAAATCAATGTTGTGGCAGCTGCTTGAGTAAACGCATAATGACTCACTTATAGTTTGTCATGGTGGTATATGGGGCACATATTGGAATGGCAAACAGTAGTACATCTTCAGAATGTGGCTGCCCTGTCAAAGAGTCAAACAGATTTTCCTAAAAAGGAAAAACAAAAACAATTACAAAAGCTATTTATACCAGCCCTAAAATAGGAAATTTCTAATAAAACAATGAATACATTTTATCATTTTCTGATATATAATATTTCACCCTTTGGGGCTATATATAAAGCAGAGCTTAATGACGATTTTCAAAATGACACTTAGATATATTTAAGAGAAAGGGAGAAAACGGGAGGCATTTTTGGTTGTCATAACTCAAGCAGGGTTGGGGGCGGAAACAATATTATTGACATCTATTAGTGTAGATGCCAGGGATGGGACAACTCCCCACAAAAAAGAATTATCCATCCCCAAATGTTAAAGATGTCAAAGTTGGGAAACTGGATTAGAACAGTCATCTCTCATGCCTGTTCTTAAGGAGAAATTCTAGGGCTTAGAGTTCCCATTTTGTGGGCTGCCTAGAAGATTGCCTGTATTTATCTAACAACATGAGTAAATTTAGATTTAGGACAAAACACTTGGTACAGTTAGTGCTTACTATATGCCATGAACTTTTCTAAATGCTTTATGTATACTGTCTTAGTTCTCACACAACTCTCCCGGTAGAGGCAATTATATCCCGTTTTCCAGATGAGGAAACTGAGGCACAAAGAAAAATGTTTCCAAGGTTGTAGTTATATGTAATAGAGTTAGGATTCAAACACAAGAATGTGTTACTCCAGAGCTTGTAGTCTTTTTTTTTTTTTTTTTAGCCTTTTAAGTTCTTGCTAGAAGTTGTGTAGAGGCAATTATATCCCGTTTTCCAGATGAGGAAACTGAGGCACAAAGAAAAATGTTTCCAAGGTTGTAGTTATATGTAATAGAGTTAGGATTCAAACACAAGAATGTGTTACTCCAGAGCTTGTAGTCTTTTTTTTTTTTTTTTAGCCTTTTAAAGTTCTTGCTAGAAGTTGTGTGCCAGATATTGTGGGACCCAGATTGCAGTCAGTGTTGTAGTATGAACCCCAACACAAAATCATACCTCATTTCCCTGTTGGTCTAGATCTTGTTCTTCCTGTTTCAAACATATAAAATTTTAAAAGTCAGTTGTAACCTAAATTGAAACTCTACACCATTAAAATCTATGAAGAGAAAAACTGATAAATATAAGATAGACTAATACATGTGTCTAATATATGAGAAAGAGATGCCATTCAAAGAAAAAAAGGATGTGCCCTAAAGTTAAAAAAAAGACCTCCACAGAATATATGCTAATGAAAGTCTTAGTCACTCAGTTGGGACCAACTCTTTGCGACCCCATGGACTGTACAGCCCACCAGGCTCCTCTGTCCATGGGATTCTCCAGACAAGAATACTGGAGAGGGCTTGCCATTCCTTCTCCAGGGGATCTTCCCCACACAGGGATTGAACCCAGGTCTCCTTGCACTGCAGGCAGATTCTTTACCATCTCAGCTGCCAGGGAAGCCCATTGATAATTATGAATATTCTTTTAACAGTTATGAATATTTGTAAGGTTTACAGAGTAAGTAATATAAAAATCTGAAGACAAAAACTGAGTTAATATTACTAACAACACTCTTCAGGGAACCAAGAAAACAGTAATACATTTAGGATCCCTGTAAGCACAACCTGCACTGAATGGAGCACACATACAACCAGTTTAACTCCATGAATAAAAATACAAAATACCCCATGAATATAAAATGAAACCAATTTATAAAACAATAAATCCTTTGTTCAGAATTTCAAAAAGATGTACATATTCATGCAAGAAGATACACATTAAGGTCAGACTTTTGTACTCAGCTGATAGAACTAGGCAACTATCTTAACTGGAAAAATGTTAACATCTCACACTGTGTAGTCACATTTGACATCATGTAATACAGTATATATTCTTATAGAAAAACCTAGAAAAGTGCAAATTCATTTCTCATTCACGGTCAACATAATCCTAATTATCTGTTTTAACTAAGTTTCCACCAGAATCTAGTTTCTCCATAAAATTTTCTAATGGCTTATGATAAACTTTTTAGGAGCTAACCAACACTGCCATTTTTTATATATGGCAATTAAAATTTAGGTCTTTTAGGCTATATTTCTTTTTTCTTTTTAGGCTGTATTTCTAAGGTAACTTCCCATTAGGAATAGGGTTACCACTCACCCTGGTTTTATTTTAGCACTGTAAATCCCATGTCCTGGGAACCTTGAGATCATTGGTCACCCTAATGAAGAAGCAAAAGCCCATGTGTGTGGTAGCCTTACCTTGTCATCATGTGGATCATCTACAGCCAAGTCTTGTAACTCATGAGTGGTAACTTCAAGGGATGGAGTTTCCTTCTTTATGCTGTCTGAAACTCTTGGTCCACCTCTAGGTTTCTGGGGCTGTTTCTTCACTGGTTCATCCTTTATTTTGCCTTTCTTTCCCTTTTTCCCTTTTTCTTCTTTGTTCGAACCTGCAGACTTCATAGAGGGAAAAGCAGTTAATGCTGACAGTATTTTCAATGTTGTCAGTTCTTTAACAAAGTACTGAATGCACAGCATATGATAGGCAGTGGTCCGGATGCCCCTTGAAAAACAAATGAAAATTTATTATTAAATGTTACTTACTCCCAGCAATTTCATGATGAGCTCACGTTCTTCTTCATCTTGGTCCTTGTATTTTTCCTTCATTTTTTTCATTTTACTCTACAAAAAAAAAAAAAAATTTTGGTTGGAAAAATTCAGCAGTAAGAAAATGTTAAGACATGTATATAAAGAAAAGGCACTTCTCTAATTCTGTCAAAATGGTTATTCAGTAAGGCACCACTTTAACAACCAATATGGAGTCTTTGAAGATGGATAAATCCATAGTCCTCACCCTCAAACAATTGACCATCTTGTGGAAAAAAAGATACACAGAATAAATTAATGCAAAATATTCTAAATGCAAACAAGTTTATATCTAAGATAATTTAGAGAAAGGAGACTTTTTTTAGCTTGAGCAAGAACTGAAGGGAAGAAATAAAGCAGAACTGAAAGATTCACTGCATCTGGGAATACAGGAAAGGCAAGATTATAATGTAAAGACAGAACAGAGTAGTAACAGCTAGTCATCACACATGGTTGTCATCAGGATA